AATTTGAAATATAGGCTTAGGTAAGTCATGGATTTAATCACTACAATGAAACGATTTACAACTCATTTGGATTTTCATTTTTAGCTGAATGTAATATTATTTTATGACACTCAGACACTTGTAATAAATTAATTTATAGCTATTTGCTTGCACACAATAAATAAACCAGTGCCTGATTTTTATGGAAAATTTGTGCAAACTTTGTATAATATTGAGCAAGGGCAAGAGATGAAAAAAAATTAATATGACCTGTTATTAGTCTTTCCATTCTTAACCCTTCTTCAAGAAGCTAAGTTAATTCTAGTCCATACAGGGTAATTGCAAAGCCTGGATTAATACTCTGGATTTATTGCTCTTTCAGTATGAAGGCTACTGTGGATCCTATCACATTACATACATATAATGGCATCCTTTTTTTTTTGTTTTGTTTGGGTTTTTTTCAGCCATGTTGCTTGTGCAGTATTCTTTCGCATTCTAATTGTTGGGCAAAAGTTTATGTGACTCTGTAAGTTCAGCTTAAAGTTTTAGATCCCTAAAATTCTGGAGGGAACAGAAATCCTATTCTCATTGCTGACTATTGAGCTAAATGCGCAACATCGCACATGCAGAACTAAACCAGATATGAATAAAACTTTTAAAATTTTATTTACTGCTGTGTTGATTCTTACTGTGAGTTCCTGGTTTTAATGGGTAAATTGTGATAGTTTGTGTTGAGAGTATAAATATTTTTTAGTGATGTTTTGTATAAAGAACAACAGAAAACAGAAAACACCCAGCTTTCAAAATAGTTCAGTGTGGTACTTGTGTGGAGCATTGTACTGCTGTCATGCTCAGACAGGAATTATTTCACCTTTTCTTTCTTTCTTTCTTTCTCTTCCTCTTTCCTGTAGCTAATATGTGTCATCTGAGCAGAATCACCAATAATACATAAAGCATTTAAAAATATGATTAGAAATTACAAAAATTACCTTTCCTTTGGTAAAATTGCTCCTTTAGTATGGATATAATAAAAATTATGTTAAAGGTAGCAATTTCTCATGGTGTATTTAGATAAGGATGCTTCATGCTGTGTTTGGAGATCACTGATTATCAAGGGAGCTATTAATGATAATGAATATCATGACATGTGTACAGATATGTGAATATCATGGTAAGTGTAGAGAAAAATAATGTTTTGGAATTGAAGTTATAAAGCATTTTTAATCACATCTTTTGCTAGTTATTTACTCAGCTTTAGTAAACATGTTAATGAAGATCTGATCAGTATTAATATTTTGATAATGTAAGTGGTGTTTTGTGAGTAGAAAGGGAAGTTAAAATGGTGCAGTTAGTATTTAGAGTTCCTGTTTTCTTTTATACACCCACACTACTGGAAATGTTCCACAACTTTAAAAGCAAATCTGAGGTCAAGAAAAAGTCAGTTTTATTGTTGTTATGTTCTAGTTCTAACAGTTCTGTATTATCACTGTTTGGCTTAAAACTGTGTTTTGGCAGAAAGGGAGTACTGTTCTTGAATTTTTGTAGTTATTATTTCTTTATCAATCAAGCTTATTGGAGATGAGGGAAAAGCCTAGATGAATGGATCAAATAAAAAGAATAGGGAAAGAATAGGGAAATTGCTATGGGCCATACTGACGGCATGAAAATCCTAGTGGCCCTCAATCTGTGCACATATTGCAAATAAGTGAAGCACTAGGAAAAAATACATATAAGACATGAAACCATAAATTTAATCACATGATCCAATGGACCACTGATCAAATTGCTAAGCTATTTATTCAATGACAAAAGTTTTCACTTGTTTGTTATAATCATATATAACTACTTCATATAAGTATAGTCTGAGAGAGAAATTTCAGCAGTGTGACCTATTGCTTCTCCAAGGCAAATCGAAAGGATCCATTTGAAAACCTTGTATTTGAGCGATTAAATGAAATGCTGTTATCAGAGACGAAAGATTCAGCTGTGTGAGAATTTGTACTGCAAAAAAATTAATAGAAGCCAAATGTGAACAGAACCAGAACCTGTCCATACAGACACTGTACACTCAGGAAGTTCCACAATTTCTGAGGGAGGCTCATGTCTTATCACTCCTTCATGTTATCACTCCTTCCAACAATATTGGACCCCTAGATCTGGCAGGAATTTCCAGAAGTCACCTAGCCCATCTTCTGGCAATGTAATGGGATCAGTGACAGTTCTATAATTCCTGATTTTTAAAATTCATTATTTATTATTTATTTATTCTTTCATTCTTTATTTCTTCATTTCCTTATTTCTTTCTAAAAAAATTTCCTAATAGGCAACTAGCAATCTCTGATTTCTCCCCCCACTTCCCAATATCTAATTTTTTTTTTCCAGTTTATTACTTCTTGCCCGGTGCAAAATAGAGACAGGGAATACATTTATATTATTCCTTTACAGAGTCCTTTTATATTCTTTATTTCTTTTACCATGTTGCCTCTAGTTCTCTCACACTGAAACCATTCTGAAATATCCAAAATTGGACATGATGCTTTAGCAGTGGCTTAAGCAATGCATAGCAGAGCAGAGGGATTATTTCTTGTGCCCTGCATGTTATTATCCTATTTATGCATTTCAAGATCATGTTGCTGGTTTGCTTTTTCGGCTTGTTGAAGCTTTCCTTTTTTGTTTTGCTACAGTGTGCTCAGATGTAGATAGATCTTTCTAATGCATGCTAGATGTTGTACATTCCCAGGACAAATGTCAGTTATTTTTAAAATATGTCAAAACCAAATTCTGGCTCTAATTTTAACCTTCTACATGCTTATTGTGAGCAGCACTACATGACTTGCCAGAGATTCCAGCTGCTTTTTTTTTTGTCATTTTCCAAGCAATGCAAACACACAGAATATTCTGATCTGGCAGACAGAGCCTGAATGCTAAAGTGTAGAACAAAATGTATTATAGTTAAATGATTGTAAAGAATAACTGTGTGCAGACGTATATTTTCATGCTTTCATATAGGCTTCTGCACACACAAACACATTTTGTTGTATTCCAGACTATGAGATAAGAAAAGCAGAGTAAAGGCAAAGGTGCTGGGGCTTAGCTGGTCTATCTTATGCTACTGTGCTTGGGCTCCATTTTCCATTTGTTTTGGTGGAGACTGCTCAGTGCCTTTCATTCTAAGCAGGAAGTCAACACTACACTATTTTGTTCAGTCAGAAATAAATCTGAATTTTACTTTCTTTGAAATCTAATCCCCGCAGCTGGATGGTTCTAAAAAATTATTGACTAAGTGTCATTTGGATGTAGTTCCATCCATGTTTCTTAGAATGTTTTTGTATTGTATGCCCTTTAAAGTTTTCCTTCATCTGTATTTCAGAAGGACAGGTATTTTTAGCTTAAAAAATATTAAATTGTTACTGAATTTCAAATTATAAAGTCATGGTTATACAAAACTAAACTGTGACATTTTGTAAGGTTGTCAATACATTTAAATGTATTATTTCATTTGACTAAAATGTGCTAGAAGTGGCTCAAATGTTGAATTGCATCACAGGTGATTGAGTCTTACACAGCTCTTCCTGAAGTAGATGGAAAAAGTTCCCTATATCCACACAGAGAATTCTAAACTTCTGGCCTACATACATAGACTTTAGTATCTATGTGGGACTTTTGAAATCAGATGGACTCCAGCAAAGATGAAGATTGTCATATCAGGGATTTAGGGATTTATCTATATTATATATACAGGTATTACAAAACTTTCCCTCTCTCTCTGAAGGCCAACCTTCACTAGGTGCTACAAAGAAAGATACTATCTATCTTAAAGGTTTCCTAATAAACTTTATATGCAAACTTTCTGATTGATGACAACTCACTTGAGATGAACTAATCATGTAGTACTTTGTAATGTCAAACATTTTTAACATTTGATGTATTTTCAAGTATTTCTGGAAGCACAGAATGGAGTATCTGTGGCATTGGCTTTTAGTAGTAGTGATCTGGATCTATATGATGTCAGTGTATTACTTAAAAGAAATTTGGAAAACTGCTTTTAAAAATGTTCTTTGAGAAAGGAACGCAAAGGCGGCTTCAAGAGGGCTTAGAAATATATTTGGCTTGTCTGCTGAGAGACTTGGCTGCCCATCAGTCTCTCTTTTATACTTTTGGGTCTGAGTAATGTGTTTGCTTCTAATAATGCAAAAACAACTCCCTTTGTATATTTCCATGAGATCAGTACAGATGCATTCTTATAGTTCATTGAAGTTTGTTTGACAGTCTGTTGAAAATATAATTGCTGAATCATCACTGCCTGTCCATTATGAGTAAATCCCTCTTACCTTTTGAACAACATGACTCATTTTGAAGGATACAAAAGCTATTCATTATTGTTATTGCTTCTTGGCCTAAGTGGTTGCCGTGAGTTTGAGATCCTGCAAACTGTTTCTGTTGGAAAAGAAGGTCATGATAAGAGCAGAGGATCTCTGTGCAGAACTGCACTGAGGAATGTTTGAAGGTCTCATTTTGTGTGTATAGGAGGATCTAAACAACAAGAAGAAAAAACTTTTGCCTCTACCATCACCGGGTTTTAGCACAAAATGTATGGAAGGTTTTCTAATAACTGTTTTACTAGACCTATTCCAGGCTATATTTCATGTTTTGTACAATTTTTTCTACTTCTTGTGTTTCTCTTGTTTCTCCCTCATATAGGGGTAGATAGGTATTTCCCGAAATCACCTCTTCCCAGTGCATTTAAAAAACGGACCTTTGGAGTGAGTACAGGTGCTTGCACTCTGAATTGAAGGCATTTGTTTAAAAAACCTAACTAAGCTTAAGCCATGTAAATACTATCCTGTATCAGCTTGGAAAAAAAGACCATGGTGTCTGTGACTATTACCTGGACTATCAGCTCAGATTTAATATTATGAATATTCAGTCTTTTTTTCTTCTATTTTATATGTTCTGTCTTCTCCATCTGTCCAGACCAGCAACCTTGCTATCATATCAGATTATTTTTGTTCTGTTTCCAGGTTATGGATTTCTCTGGAAAGTCTATGCCTCCTTTCTGTGCACTGACCACCTTGTCTATATAATCCTTAGAGGGTGTACTTTTGAAAGCATATTGGTTCTGGACTCCCAAAAAAGGTACGTATGGAAAGGAGGGAAATTATGCTGCCATGAGATTTCTTCTTCAGGAAATATGGAGGATATAGTGCTTCAACTGCATTAATGAGCTTTGTATTTCATACTGCTCAAATTACATGATGAAGGAGTTCATATGAGGCCAAGAACTTGAACTGAATCCCTGCAAACCCAAAAGAGTTTGTGCAGGTTTGACCTATCAAGCTCTCTCTTTATGTCTAATCTGGCAAAATCATCCAGGTAACCTGTGAATAAGCCTAATTATTTCATTATCATACAGGTGGCTGAAGAATATATGCCCAAAGTGGTAAAATTTTAGTTTTGGTTTCTTGAGATATGAAACTGCCTTCTGTGCCTTGAGCCTCTTGAGAACTAATCTCCAGACAGCTTCCTCCTATTCTCTGTATTACCTCTCACAGTTTCTTCCCTCCAGTTTTTTACTTGTACCACCACTCACCCTTTCCCTTTCCCTTTCCCTTTCCCTTTCCCTTTCCCTTTCCCTTTCCCTTTCCCTTTCCCTTTCCCTTTCCCTTCCCCTTCCCCTTCCCCTTCCCTTTCCTTCTTTCCCACCTCTTCCCTAAGGCCCCGCTTAAGCTTTAGTTACTGTCATCATTTTTGACTCACAAATAATTTGTAAAGCATCCCAGTTCTCTCACACTCTTTTCTTCTTGTCCTGTATCACACAATTCTCACGAGCATATATGTGTTGCAATTCTCTGTCCCACTTGCTAAGTGCAAGATTTCGCTTACCAAGAGGCAGAAAAGTGGTCTAAGGAGGGTCTAGTTTGGATACCTTGCTTTTATTCCCCAGTGGCTGGAAGACTAGGACTCAATGGTGAGGATCACAAGGCAGAGAAGTACCCAGTATTCCTATTGCAAGATGAGACAGTTTGGCCAGACAGTGGCGGTTTCCTCTCTTGTTTCAGGCCATGACTCAGTCTAAGCCAGAAGTGCAGAATATGTGATAGAAATTGCAAATTGGATGGCTAGAGGCCAGTTAAATCTGCAACTTAGCCAGTAAAACTGCCCCACCTGCCTAAGGCAGATGACACTTTGCAATGACTTTCTGTGTTTTTTATGATAACAAGAATCAGCCAGAGTCTGAAAAAAATAAAATAAATGCTTTTCTAAATAGCCACTAAACCACAACTTTCTGGAACTGTTTGGGTCCTGCTGGACAGCTGTAGTTGCTACTTTTTAGACAGAAAAAGCATTAATATTTTTGAGAAAATGGATGTTGAAACCCATATAAAATGTTCTTGCTCATTCTATTTCCCCCTTACATTCCCAACACAGAAGCCCATCATTCTAGCAGAGGTACATCACATTGTCCGTGGAAATTTCACCCAAGCAAGGATTTCGTAATAGTGGGTTTTGCAAGGCACATTTGTAGCAAACAAATGCCAACCATTCCTCTTCTCCACTGCAGGGTAATTGTGTTACAGTGAAAGGCTTTTAACTATGAATCTGACTGAATTGCTCAACCCCCCAGGAGACATTCCTGGAACATGAATTTCAGTCTGGCATGCTGAACGAACTGTTCCTGCAGCTGCTGCTACCACTGACCAGATACTCAGTAGGAGGGGAGCACTGTAAGACAGCGGTGGCAAGGGAATCCTGAGAGAGTGTGGGAGAGAATAATGCTGCTTCAGAGCATTGACTGAAAGCTTCAGCGTAGATTTTAGAAGTGTTACACACAAAACACCCATCTGAGTAATAAGAGTTGCTGACTGTCATTCTACTCTGATCAAAGACTTTTAATTGCTTCACTATTTTGTTAATCCCAGAAAAAAAAGTAAAAATTAATGTACTCTATAATTTTTATGGATATTTTCAACCCCAAAATCAATTAAATTCAATCATGTACTGTACTACTTACAGTGATGTACAACGGCACATGAAGGATTGCCCTTTCTCAACAGTGTCTGGTTCATATATTTATTTAATGAACATAAGCATGGAAAGGTGCTTATTATGGAGTACCTGTCATAATTTTGATTTATACTTATGAAAACATGGTGTTGGCATAAAGCTCCTGGAACCTTACATTTTGCTTTTCATTTGACACCCTGCCCAAAAGAAATTAAGAGGCTCTGTTGCAGTTCTAATTTTCTTTTGGAAAACAACTCAGAAACACACTTCAAATAATATTATTCTCTTACCCTAAATTGCTGAATGCATAGCAAAAGGACACAAGACTTAGAGACTTTCATGGATAGTATCTTTTACCAGATTTTTATCTGATGTCAATTACTATACTTCCTTTCTATTCCCAAACTGAATTCACTCTTCAGAAAGTTCAAATTAGCATTTTAAATGTTCTCAGTGCAATTTAGGAAGCCGTGTGCTGCTCAGAACCCTCTTTTCCCTTCCCTGGGCTGACCACATTCTGAGCAAGAGAAGAGTCTTTCCAAGAACTAGTCCCAGTACCTGGCGCTTTAGGTGGTAAAAGAAACCAAGTGAGAAGTGTTATAATTTCTCATTGTATCATTTGTGTACCATGTGTACCAAATATGCACCAGCATGTTTGTGTGATTGATCTTTTTCCTTTTTTTTTTCTGTTAGGGAAGAAGTAGGTGCAAACCCAAACAAAGCAATGGGAGACAGCATATTATAACAAAGTGACTCATTTATTTTTGGCCAGTGGACTGAGATGAAAAACAAAAGATTTTGAAAGCCTTATGACACACAACCACTATCCTCCTTCTTTAAAGGCATTTACAGGAACAGTAATGCATGAGAAAACCCCTAAAACTGTCTAACAGCATCTTTCACATGGTCAACTCAAAGTGCACTCAGGGCTGAATATTGTTCCGATAAGCAAACTATTCTAATGCACAGGATTTCAGAGTTGTGCTGGAAGATAAATGGATGGGTAGGGGTAATTTCAGGAGACTCACCTACTTTGCAAGGTCACAAAGTCCCAGTCATACTCATAGGAACATAGGTGCCCCTGAAAGAGACAAAATGGGCAAAGTGTCTGTTCAAACTGGAAGTCTTGTAGCAACAGTATTTGAAATGTAGGATAAGGGAACAGGCTATAGGGCCAGGGAAATGGGAAATACTCTGAATTAAAGAAACTTATGACCCATAAGAGAAATATATTCTTTATGGCTAACTGGGATCAAATTAGTTCTCTTCAGCTTTGAATGGGCTGTTATAAGTGCAGTGGGCTTTGTTCTGGTGCTGCAACTCAGGGAGGAATTCAATCACATATTTGCAAAGAAATATAAATTTCTTTAAATATGTATGTAGTCTATTGAGGCATTTTTATTTTGTCATTTCCTCTGAGAACAAAAACCATACTTTATTTGCTGTTGATTTAAAAGGATTCTTCAAGAGCATAGGATAAGTCCTGCAAAGAGCTGCCTTTGTCCATTGAGATTTGGACTCTTTGAGATCTGTATGGTAATAAACAGCTGACATTTCTGGGGTACTGGACATGATCCCAAGGTGTGTATTGTGTATACATCCTCAGGCAGCTCAGCAGGGAGAGACCCAAGCAGTGCTTCTCTCCAGAGCTCCACCTTCCATGAACAGAAATCCCTTAGCTTGAGAGTCAAAAAGCACCATTAAGTGGTCCAAATAGGTCTCAAATCCAGATGATGAGGATTCAGATCATGTGAAATTTTGCAGTCTATACTTGCCAGGTATATAGAAGCTGCAAATGTGTTTTCAGATCTCACATGGTAAGAACTGCAGAATGAAACAAAAAATTCTGCTCAGGGCTTAACATCTAGAAGATAGTTCATTCGAAAATTAGATTTTTGAGAAGAAGTACGAACCTCTGCACTCATTATTGATTTGTGTTATAGACAACAGAATCTGAAAAATATTTTCCTACATTTCCCTCACTGTCTTTCAAATGGGCTTGGGATATCATGTATCCATTTTCTGGGCTGTATCAGGAAATCTGCCGGGCCTAACGTGTTTTCTGCTTTTAAGCCTGGTAAATGATATCCACTTTTCTCAAGTTTGTTGAATGAGACGGGTACAGGTTGCAGGCACACAAAGAACATTTTGGCTCATAGGATTATTTCTAACCTAAATGTGGCTCTTGGTTGACACAGAAGAAAGAGAACTTTTATTGGCCTGAAGAGAAGCCTCCAAAAAGCTGCTGGACTGCAACCAAAGAGGAGGATGACAGGCTGAGGAGAACACTAGTCTTGTAATTCTTTTATTTCTCATTTGCACTGTTTACAATTCTGAAAGTTCCTTGTCTTGTTGGCAAGTCTCTTAACAAGCTCAGCCAAGAAGCAGGCTATTTAGTTTGCTTTTGTGGAAGCTGTTTTTGCCTATAATAATATTTAGGGGGATGTTAGCTCATGAAGGTAGATATTGTCTCTTTAGAAACCTTCACATTAAGTCTTACACAGGTACAATGACAAGAACAAAAAGAGCATAGAAAGGAGCTGTCCTCTCCCAAATACAAAAGAAACCCTGTGAGTGGGTGAAACTCTCTGAGTGATGTGATGTAATGTGTGTAGCCCATACAAATGTGATTAGTACGTAACAAGGGCAGGGCCTGTGTAAGGTTAATTACTATGCCTGACTAACACTCATTCTCCAAAAGAAAACAGAATAGCTGCATACAACTGGGGATCTCAGTAAACTCATCAAAATCCATGTAGGTCAACACTGAAGCCATGAGATTGCTCGCAGAACTCCAGATAGTTCATCTATCTCATTCTGTTGTTCAGACTCTTAAAGAACTGTTTAAAATAGTTACTATGGTTGGCTAAATAAAATAAAAAAATTATTTGTTTTTAGTGAAACTCAAAATAATGCCTTTTTGATGTCTGTTTCTAAATATTAAAACAAGGCTAAACCAGATATTTTTAATTTATATTTTTCAAAAATTGTTATTTTTTAAAAAATCTGAAACTGTGGTAAAAATTATTATAAAATCCAAACTCCACAACTCCTCCAAGAAGTAATTATAACAGCAAATGAAGGATTTGCTTAAACATTTTTTGAATGTGTCTATTATTCTGTACCTTGACAATATGAGAAAAGAGATACAGTATTCTTCTTACATAGTGAGGTGCTGAAGGCAGAGACATTGTCTTTGCTTTCAAAGTGCCCAGCATATTTTAATGGTGTAACATAGCCATGTGTGCAAGCATTTTTTTTCAATTGAAAGTCTCATGTTTCCATTTAAAAAAGATGAAAAATGTCTAACAGAGTCCCTCAACAATTAAACAGTAACTGTACATAGCATGTTTTCATAAGCGAATATATGTATTTTTCTACATTAGAGCTAATTTCATGTAACATCTATGGAGAACAAAACAGACTTCTTTTGTTGTTTTAAGGATCTCTTGGTCTTTTTAGATTTAAAGTGCTGTTACAAAATACATGTAACAGGTACAACCTTGCAGAATTCCCATAATATTGGCATTATGAAGGTTTTTAACTTGAACTTTTCACATATTCCAAGGCAGCAATTCACAAAGTTGATGACTTAATTTCTGCTTAAAATTCTGAACTCAGAAGTACATTTGAGGTGCAGCCCTCATCTTTTTCACTGGATTTGTGAGCTTAACAATACTCCTTAAAGCCAGTGGTGATTAGTAGCTTATAAAGTATTTTTCACTGCTTTTTTTGCTTAGTTGTCTGAAGACAGAAGCTGAAATACTGGTGCAGCCTGTAGAGACTTATATATTCCATTTGGAATTACTCATGGGATAATTAGCATGGCATTCTCATGGAACGTGTATTATTGACTATCCAGATCTCTTTATAGTTGAGATGTATTGAAAATTCAACTTCCCGGTAAATGCCTATACAGCTCATTGGTATAAATCAGGACAAATACCATCCTGCCTCTGAGAAAAGTTGTGTCCTGTGTAATACTGAATATTCTATTGAAATTTCTAGCTTAGGACAGACTTGATTAGTAGCTCTGCTACCTTCTTTCATCTAGTGAAACCCAGAAAATGGGAGAAGGAACAGGATCATCAGGGGTGGAGAAACAGCAGGACAAACATTTTACATAACATGCTGCCTTAAAGTAACAGACCATGATCACAGGACTTCACAGTGCCAGTACTACTATATTGGGAAGAAGTTTTTCTAACCTGATTCAAGTGATAGTTTATGGTGTTAGGCACAGATATCCAAGCCTGTATTACTGGGTAGCACTGCCATTGCCTGTGATAGGGTCTCTCTAAGTAAGAAGGCAGTTTCAGTTTAAAGAAAAAGTAATTTAAAAAACATTTCTTTAATCAATTCTTTATCTTCGGCTCTTTATAACCGTGTGGAACTATTTTATGTTTTTTGAAAGGTTGTGCTTGGATTCAGCATTGTCAAACTGTTCAACTGATATTTGTGGTGATGATGATTCAGTTTCATATCGGCTTTTAAAATTTTAATGTATAACATTAAAAAATTATAACATGTTACAGATTAAGGAAATAAAGCTTCCAAGTAAATACAGACATTTTAGTTGGGGGTTGGGTGGGAGGAAGACATTTGGTAAATCGTGCTTCCGAGTCATGAACAACCTAAGTGGTGTTTCTGCGTTGCTTAGTTACCATTTCTGTTTAGTTGGCAATGGTGTCCACTGAAAATATTTTAGTTTCTGCTCCTGACAGCTACAAACATGTGTTCATATGTAATCTTATAAACTCATACACTGTTAAGTGGATGCCCAATATACCTCCTCAAATGTGAGCAGCAGATAGCATTGCCAAGCTGCAAAGTCAACACTGAACAGCACAGCCACGTTCAGCTAATTTGCAAAAGGTTTTCACTGGTGGGTCCATTTCTTCAGCTGTTAATAGTCTAGCCTGACATATGTAGAGCAAAGTTCAAGAGAAAACATGAACAATTTGCTAGACTAGTTGGCAGAAGCCAGACTACACGAATGGCCTCAGGAGACTGATGCTGACTTTATGCCAATTTCAAATCTCTGCTCACTCTCCCAGTTTACCAAAAAAGCTACTTTTCTTTTCAGCCACACTGCTACAGGCAACATGCGGAAGCCTGGCATCTGACTAATGCTCACCAAGTGTTACAAGGCTTGAGTGGAGGGAAATATGCAACCTTGTGACCCTGACTCAGAATAGCCAAACTCCATCTGCTCTGAAATTTTAAATGGTAAGGATGCCTCCATTTCTTACTGGACATATTTGGAATTAAGGACTATCAATGACTCCTGTCTTATTCATTTTAAGCTGCAAAATCTTCATGCAAAAAATTGGAAAAAAAGTTCCTAATTTTTCTGGGAAAAATTAATCTTAAGAGTTAAAAACAACCCTCAGAGTTGAAACTTAAATGATGTGTTGGATTTAAATGCAGTTAGGAGTCAAAAAGTAACAAACCCGACTTGCCTGTATTGTGAGCTGATGCAACTTCACAGTTCAGGTAGCTACAAGAACACAAATGTAAAAGGAGAAAATGGAACTATTTACAACATAAAGGCAAAAATATATAAACATGAGTGGTGTGATGACATATCACACATGCATATTGTTAGGACAAAAATATCTTTGGAATTTGAAAAGTTCTCAGGAAGCATTTCACAACTCTAGGAGCTGTATTCAATACAGTGAAATCCTGTGAGATACTATTTCGAAAAGTAAGGACAGACTAATCAGAATGTTTAAAATTAGTGGTAGCTTATCTTGAAAGGATCATATGATCACATTTTTTATCTGCAAATGGAAACAGTGAGAACTACTTAAATATATACAGTTGGTGAACTTGTGTCTGAGACAAACGATTATAACAACATTCTCTAACTTCCTTGGAGCATGAATCATCTTTCATGAAGTTTTCTGTGGTAAAATTTTGTTCTCTTTAGTCATGATGAAATCAATATTTTCCCTTTTAAATTTTTTTTTTACACAGAACTTTGTCCGGGGAAAGCCCAGAAACTGCAACCACAGAATCTCATAAAAACAGAGAAGAATGAACATGTACTATAGCTTACAGCATATTCAGCGTATTAATCACTGCCTGATAGCATCTTTCAGCAAAATTTGTTATGATCCATGTGCTGGTATTTGTTGCAAGGAATCCTTATGACAGATATATAAAAAAATAAATGAAGAATATCACAGATTCCTCCTTAAACAAACGGATTCATTCCAAGTAAGTATCAGTACCCCTGAAGCCATGTGTTTACACCCACACTGGAGTATGCCTGAAATCTCATTGACATTTCCCAAAGTATAAATAGAATGCTTCTTTCACATCTTGAATAACTACTTTTTAAAAGAAAAACACTAAAGGACCAGTAAGTTGCATAGGAAATACTACTAACAATTAATTATTATTTGGCAGTTTAAGTTTGGTTCATTTGGTTCATTTCTTGTTCTGACAGTTGTCAACATTGTGCATCTCGTTGACTTCTTGGAATCTACCACCAGGGAAACTCTAATCATCCCTCTTCACGGGATGGGTGCCTTCGGCTATTGTTAGAGATCATTATTTTTTGACAGTGAGAGATTATTTATTTATTAAATGAAATAACTTCAATTCCTAGAATGCTTACAAATCACTGATAAGTAGATTTACTGTCTGTAATACCTTTCACGTTTGGCCCTAATAAAGGAGATAATAATGTCAGAAACTTCTTGTTGTTACTTTTTAAACCATCACTTTTATAGTGATACAATAAAAACTTGAAATTAAAAAAAAAATAGGAATAACACACCATTACACATAAAGACTTCAGTATGTATGCATTTGACCACCTCTATACTATTGAAATGGAAGGAATTCTTAAATTGTCTAATCCTACAAATGTGTATATATCTTCAGTAAAGAACACAAAATGTTAATTACTCTTTGCCTGTGTTTAAAAATAATTTGTATATCCTCTTTGACAACAGCTGGAATGATAAGTAACATAAGAGCATTTGGCTCAGAATAATCTAGGAATATACTTCCATTGCCCCATACATTTCCACAGACATTTATTTCCTTGCATTTATTTCCTCCATCTATATTTCTCCAGATTTTTTTTTTCCATATTATTTGCAAAAATTAAATCTTTTTACCGAAAGGCTTTTTAATCCAGCTTTTGGAGGCAGGAAAGAAGGTTACATTTGATTTTTGTTTTTAATTTCATTTTTATGACAATTTAGTTGGAACATTTCTGGTGATAGCCAAAGGCCCACTTACCTCCCACAAGATCTTGTCCAGCAGCCTGTGAGCTGATAGTTGCATCTGTTTTCAAACAAAGTCTGATTTAGATTTATCTAACTTTGCCAGTCTAAGATTTTCTGTTTTACCAGGAATTGAACAAGCCCAGTTTCATAAATGAATAAAGTTATTTTTAGATACTTTGTTTTGAAGAAGATTTCTGGAATTTTCAACCTAAGCTTTTCAACACATTTCTCAGTCAGATGGTCTTTTCATTTATAGTTTGATACATACCTGTGTAGTTCACTTATTCCTCTGTCTACTCTCTGGAAAGTTTAATTATAATCATAGAGAAAAGAATTAAAGCAAGGACCATGCACAATGAGGAATGGAATTCACTTTGCAAATTATTTTTATGGCAATGTTGGAGAAGGTAGCAGGTATTCACTTTGCACTGATAAGAACAGAGAGAACAGCTCTGTTTCTTGCAGTGGAATATTAAACAGCAAAAACATTGAGAATAATCATAATGATCTTTGTACAAAGAGTCACGTTGCTGATGCGGTCACTTGGTCACACATCCTAATTAATTCACATCCAGCTCCTTTTACATTTAATTTATGAGAAATCTGAAAAGCTGCTGTTAAGATTACATACAAATCCTACTTTTTGCACCATGTGGAGATCAGTGATTTTGGTTAAAACTAGAATTAGGAAAACAAAAATGTCAAGACCATAAGGCAGTAGTCTAAATTAAGGCACAGTAACAATTTAAAGGCAGCAGAATGAAAGTATTATCAGAACAGATAGAAATCTCATAAGCCTCTTGCACTACAAATGCTGACAAGTGAAGTACAAACCCATTACTTTCAAATTCCTTTTGTAGAGTGTCTTATATTTGAGGTGCCTGCTATGGCATAAATATTCTTCTGTCAGAAAATGAGCAATATTTTCATAAACAGTGCTTTTGAAATAATTGAACACATAAAGTACATTACAGCATAATATTAGTTCATCTCATTTCATGTTCTAGCAGTTGCAAGTGCAAAAGCATCATGCAACAGTGTGATTTATACCAAGCACATGAATACTCTTGGAATGCTTGTTAATAGTAACAAAATTCTGGTGATTTTTGTACCTATAAAGAAAATGTTTGTATGTCTTGTACCCTTGTTCACCTTCTCCAAAACCCCATGTGAGATAGTGATTAGTAGTGTTTTCTCTATCTCCTAAATTTATGGTTGACAGGATCTACCATGCCCATTTCTGCATAATTTCCATGGGTGTAACATCTGTATTCCACTCCTACTCCGATCTCACTCAAGTTAATGGCAAAACTTCTGTGTCCCTTAGGGTTTTGCTTGGGCTTTTTGAACCATATGGAAACAGAGCTGCTAACTTATTATGGATCCCCTGTCAGACTGCTGCTGCATGCTTGCTTCCCAGAAGGCTCTGTATAAACCAGAAGCTTTCAAGGTTTTCTTCTTCCAGTGCCCCATCCATTTGTTGGCTTTAAATAATATCTTATGGATGAACTTACATGGTTAAAATAAGAGATTGGGTACCTGTGTCATCTGGCAATATGTAATGGGTTTGTAAGAGAAGCAGCTCAAGGAAGACTGCTTGTTGGAATGCTCTGTAGTTCTGAGGCTATTGCATTGGTAAAGTACATAGTCAGTAGTAGTGCATGCTACTTACTAAATATCGCTGCTAAATATAGCTGTATTAAGTCTTCCAGACTCACCAGTGAGCAAATGTAAGAGCCTTACCTTATAAGTAATTCAAGTTACTACTTTAAAGCCACCACTCCACTACTGTCTAAGTCTGGAATTTACATGCTTGAGGCCTTAATACTACAACTCAAGCATGTCCCCAAAACACATATATATCATAAACATCAGTGTAGATGCACTTCATCACTGGTGGTAATACTGTGACACTAAATATTTCCTTTGTAAAGAACAATACCAATAAGCTAATGCCTGAAAATGATTTGGAAGGAAGTGTGTGTAGCACTGCAGCATTTTTATATTAGTTTGGTCTTGCACAATGCTGTCCCTCCTTTCCTTCCTGCCCAATATTATTTTAGCAATATTCAAGGTTTTTAAAAGAGGCCAGAAAACAAGAGCCAGGACTTGATTTCCGTACTAGTCACAAATGGCAGCTGTAGGGCAAACACAAAATGTTGCGATTACAATCAGTGCCTTTTTTCCTATTGAAAAGACTCTTTCCGTATTCACAGAGAGTAAACTCAAAGGAAAAGCAGAAAAAAGGCATTTTCTCTTCATAGTATTTCTTTGGCATGGATAAGAAGTATTTAAAGTACAGCAGATGTGCCTATGCTGTACAATGGAAATGGAGTCTTTTATAACATCTGTTTAAATATTTTTGTTCCAGTACATACATTGCTGTAATTGGACAGTGGCATACTATCCTCATAGTTTTCTTTCCCAGAACTATGTTAGTTTCAAATACCTAAATGTTTTACAAGATCGTAATAAGATGATTTAGTATTTCTCAGTTTATTGAAGGCAAAGCTAAAAATGTCTTAAAGAATTAAAGTTGTAAAATTTGCATATTTCCCTGGTTCATCTCCTAGCAAATATTATCTGAAGCATTTTTGGTGGATTTGTCTACTATCTTCTCAATAGAAATATCCTGTAACATTATCTCTTTCAGCAAGAAGAAAGCCTAGAATAAATCAGTCCCTCTGCCAAAGTGAAATGAGACTGTTTAGTCACAGACAATGCGTGCTTATGCAGTCTACATCACTCAAAACTCCAAAACCTTAACTGAAAACGTAACATTTTCTATGTAAGTAAACCTGAAAAAGATCAACAATATAAGTGAATCAGTGCTTTGCTTTTTTTGAGTTTTCCTGGGACCACGCAGAAAGTATGTATGAACTATGCATGCAGTATTTGTGTGCCCAATCCACATCGATTTCACCCCAGAAAACTTACTAGGTTGTGTAAAAGGCATAAACATACCAAAACTCTGCAAAACTTTAAAATACATTGTTTAAAAACTGTTTTGGCAAAGGTGCTTACAAGTAAAAGTGCTTGCAAGCGCTGCTGTTTTGAGGGATTAAAGTACTGAGAGCAAACATAGGT